TTATGCAAGAGTTAGTCCATCACTGAATAAAATATCCTTGGCCATGATAACTTGAGTAGTATGACTTTCCTTGTGTTGATTGTTTATATTTGGCACTGAAGAATACAGTTTTACGATCAGGCAACGAGGCGTCTCATTCTCGCCGCCATACAAACTTCAAGCGACTGATTAGCTGGACCATCATTGCAGCAGATCTGTTCAGCAATGTGTTGCAACATCAGATGATTGAATAACTGTTTAGGTTTTTGACTTACGGCGCTATTTAGCAATGCAATGTACTTTTAAAAAAGGATTTCTTATCTTCCACCATTCGTTACCTGACTTGCCCTCGTTATGGGCGCGCAACAAACGCAAGTCGACGCTTATCCAACATTCACTATTTTCTGCTACAGCCTCAGCCGATGATCAAGTAATTTGACCAGCTTGCTTTTGAGAGACCGATTAGACGCTGATGTTCATCGAAACCCAGGGTGGACAGTTTGTAATGTTCGAAGTCCAGCGGTTGCCTATCAGGACAGTCGCATGACGCGTGACCGATCCATATCCTTTTGGACTTGTAGAATGTAGAAATCACGTCGGTCAAAGGAACCCGTTGTCGAACTTGTACGCTCAGAACGTGATTCCGGAGAGACACTTTGCGCATCTTCGTTCCATCAGTTTGTGCGCTCTTTGCGTGACCACCAGTCAAATTTGCTCGTCTCTAAAGTACACCAACGTTCAGCGCAGAAGATCATGACAGGTGGGACAGCTGAATCGAACAGTTCTTCCTTCGCCCGCATGGACTGCTCATTGTCGAGTAATGATGCATTAATAGGTTAAGCGGACACATGTCCCCTTCTCTCTCCTGCTGATTCCTCCGCCCAGCGAGCTAACGCGGCTGAGGGATATGTAGTTGGTTACTTTTCCTGATTCTTCACTAGTCGCTTAGACAGAGCCCTTGGGGTAGTTCTTGTAGCGTACCTATTTCTACTTAGAAAAGTTAACCTCAGATTTAATGGTGAGAAATACTTCTTGAAGATGCTGGATCGTATGTTGATACTGCATTGTGTCATATTTTGTTTATTTTAATTTCTAAGAAACAAATGTAGCAATATGAGATATCTTTAAAATGTTTAGCGATTTCACACCTTACGAGTGCAAGAAGGTGAAAGCCAACAATTAATCAACGCAGACAGGATTTCATCATAATTGCAAAGCGCATTTAAAGAGTGTAATCCTAGAATAATCGAGTTGTGAACAATTCTGAATGTCATCCGTTAAAATCCCCCATCAGATTATGATTAATGGTTTGGAAAGCAATAAAAATTATTATTAATGATAGTAGCAGTGACTTGCTGAAAGAAGTATGATCTCAATGCAATGATGACACTTCGTTCATTCACTTGTTAGGCCTAACTATACCTGATGCGAAGATATTTAACAAAGTTTGAATGATCAGATGCAATACACGGCTGATGTTCAACTGAGAGGCAGAGATTTCTTTCAGGAGTCTTCGTCACAACTTCTTAAGGTGTCATTTAAGATTGGATTGCGCTTTCTATGTGTGTCACGTTGCATTGATCTGTTCGTTCTAAGCTCCTCAGTGGATACTTTTAGCCGCTTCTCGAAATAAAAATAACAATTATCTTCAGCAAAAATAATCGTAATCTCCTTTGGTACGATTCTCACGATAATTGCAGATTTTTATGACTCTGTGTACAATTTTGGTAACTACTGTACTGAGTACTGAGTGATCAAATGAATCATGCTCAGCTCTCAGTGACAGGAAACATTTTCAGCGGCCTCTGATGCATTCGAAACTGCACTTTGTGTCATTCGATGTTCAGTTTTTCGTTCATCTTCTCTTTTGTTGTGAAAACGACGTTACTCTGATTTATTCTCCCATAATATGACCATGGAACCACTCCTGTCAAACGTTATCAGTAATAATGACGATACTAACATAGCGGGAACACTCAAATAATTTTAAAAGTGTGGGTCATACGTTAACAGCGATGGAAGTAACTCATACGGATTTTGATCACAATGGCTAGAGTTCCTACCACTTTAATTTCCCAGTGATATTCCTTCTCTGGGAGTTGATTTTGGAGTAAATTCCTCAGGTCATTACCTCTCGCTCACTGACAAATCATTCGTCACTTTGTAGAGTGTTTCTCTCTTATGCTTCTTCTTATGACCAACATCTACCGCCGAGGACGAACTTGAACTTCTAGGAACATGACGAACGTACTATAACGATTAGTATAGTCATTGCATAGAATCGATGACAAATACGAAGTAAAATGGCATTCAATGGTAGAAATTGGGAAACAATCAGGTTTTCACATAAATGGACAGAAATAAAAATAGACAAGATTGGGTAGAGGGGCGATAATAAACAAAGGCGACCATGCAATGCTAGAAATCAGTGCTATACAACAATATCCTTTTTCAGTAAACAGCCGATTTAACGTACCTATTTATTCCGTATTTTCTGGTCTAGAAAATGCTGGTGGCCTCAGAATTACGATTACAGGTCCATTTCTTTATGATGTCGTACTCTATCGCCTGAAAATTCATTCCACAATGTCAAGAAGTACAGCTTTGCAAGCATTTCTTCCAAGGAATACCGTACTTTCTCTCGATGTCAGGGATCTCGATGTCGCCTGTAGTTCAAAGGGAGATGACGTGCAAAGATTTTTCAATGCTTTTTATTGGATTAACACAATAATTCAGTTTATAGTCAGAAAGTTTTTCTTCCAGGAAGATTTATTTGAATGAAGTTGATACCTTTGTAATACAAACTTGCCATTATTTTGCCAACCAATCACTTCAGAGTTCACTGCAGGCGTTCTTGGCCAAGAAAAATACACTCTGCCATATTTCACTTTATCATGTGACAGCGCAAGAGCAATAATATGCTTGTAAAGAGGCTACTTCACTTGTTACTAAAATATCGCATTTTTCTGCAGTGTCCTTGATAATCCACTCGGTTGTCAAAGAACACCATTGGTGATGCGACGGTCAAATTAATTGGGCAGTGGTGGAGGCGGCAAACGCAGAATAGAGAACGCTGGAGGAACAGCCACTTGCGTTAATGCTGCACCCATAACTAGAACATGTCGGACAGCGGATGACGAATGCATCGTTGGAGATCAAACATGAAAGTTCAGGTGGTCGTTTTCGTACAGGAAAGAAATGTGCTTATGTGGAGTATGGGTGAATAAACGATAAACAAATTAAGGCGGAGGTAAATTTGCAATTAACATAGGCATTTAATAAATTCTATGATTTTAGATGTAGCTGGGCAATTTGACGATTCCAGGGGTTATTATCACTAGAAAAATTTCACAAAGAGCCCCGGTAACATCTGAATAGAATAACAGGCGCCAAAAATAATTGAATAGGTGGATTTGAAGAAAAAAACATTTTCTAACATGAGGTGCAACAGTTAGCAATCCAGTGTTGCTGTTGTGATCATCATGTAATACTAAATAATGCCTGAGAAACTGAATTACAAAAATGACTGGATTGCTTATGATACTATTTATATGGGACGATTCATGTTATTCTCTGCTGTTTCGTGTTCTCAAAAATATTTATTTCCGCATTTGTTTACTTCAAATTATACATAAATTAAACTATCACATTGTGTTTTCGGTCGTCAAGTTATCCCTACCTGTCATTCACCCTATTCCATTATTTTTGGTATCCAGAATTCGTCTGATCAAACTTCTTGCAATTCTATTGTCGAGTGAGGTTTCATTGCCTTCTGTCAAAATCGTAAGTTTCTCTCCTATTCAAAGATGTGTAAGAATAGGAAACTAAACTATTAATTATAGTAAAAGAATTCAAGTAAGAAAGTGTCATTTAAATAGATAGTGGCTGAGTGATTCATCATTCGGGGCAGCAAATGAAGCCGATGGTAAAACCGTTCATTGCCAACGCGTTTTACTGCATAAATCGTAGAATCATTAGGGCTGAACATGAGATCGCTTGTTGAAAATGTCCTATCTAAAAATGGCCGGATAGCATGCAAGATTCCTGTCATATATTAAGTACTATTGACCAGAGAAGTAAAGAAAGTCAGAATATTAAGTAGAGAAAACGAAAATAATAGGATCACAAGGAGATTATTATTAGCTAGATGTCTTCTCATTGTTTGTTGTCGAACTGTACTCCGCGTTGAGCTCGTTTCAATTTTGTCAAATCCTTATTCGTAGCACCATAACCTGTTCATTTCAATTGGTATTTTTCGACTGTGCGAATTTTGCTATTGTCGACAAGGTGTGAAACTTCAGCAAACGTTGCACGTTGCACCTACTTAAATTAATAGCATGACATACTGCAAGAAAAAAGCGTCTGTGTTGAGCGCTGGCCGCTGCTCCATTTTGATGCATTAGCTAAGATGTTTACGATTCTCATCGTGATCGAATGGTATCGAGAAAACCAAGAAGAAAAAAGTTCTTAATCGGCCCTGCTGACACTTCAGTGATGAGCGCGTTTTTTCCATGAGGCTCATTGGGCCGCATTGATTTTTTATTTCATTTCTAGCTATATTTTTTCTACCATGAACCAGGAGTAACCAATTAACGACGGTGTACTACATGGCAAGTACAAAAGTAGCCCTTTGTTTCCTTTCGTACAAAGTGATGCTCACTTAACTACTTTGGAACGATGAAACGTGATTGTGACTGACTCAGCCGAGGTTTAAGCC